AATTTTATAAAATAAGAATTATATAGTAATTAGAACATGGCATATTCTTATTTTAGCTTAGAAAATAGAGAAGTATGACTTAATAAAATTCAAAGTAAATATATAAAAACAGGTCAAAAATTATTTTAGCATACAAATTTGTATACTAGATAGTTTAAGGAATAGTAATCAATTATTACAACATATCTGATTCATTTCCAAACCTTACCCAAGATAATCTCTGAAACTTAAATTAATAATTATAAACTTCTAATAATTCTATATAGCAAATCCAATTAAAGAAAAATTTAAACAACTATATAAATACCCAATCTAATACAACTATTGAATCACTTATATCTTTAAGAAAGTTTTATAGCAATGTACTTACCTTTAATCTTTTAAAAAAAAATATACTAAGAATAACCACTTACTTATCTGGTATAACTCTGTTATTATTGCATTAGCAAAAGCTTGTACACAGAATTTCAATACAATGATTAATTATTAATATCTTTATATTATCCAAGCTGCTTTTAAAGTTCTTTTAATACAAAATCCAAACTAATTCAACTTAGTACAACCTATTAAATATAATTAAAACAAAATTTAAATATTTAAACTTGGCCTTCTTTAGATTCTTTATAAAAAACAAAGAAACCCAACTACAATATTAAAAAGAATTTAACTTATTATTACAAATAGCAGTAAAAAGATACAAAAGACTACACAACATTTGCTTTATAAACAAATTTAACAAAAATCAAATCTTTACAAAACTTATAGCCAAATTAGCTATAGGTTTTATATGCAATATAGACTACTTTATTAACAGTCTACACAACTGCCTCAACTTTGTACAAATAAACTGTCTATTTAGTTTTGAAAAACTTTGTAGCTTGATTAATGAGACATACTGTACTTAATATTACTTATTTCTTTACCTAAAGATCCACTTGAGATAAAATTTTTAATTCAACAAATTCTCTTTTTCTTTTTATCAATTTAAGATTGCAAACTTACTCAAGCTACTTTGCTAGCTTTACAAAAAATTTTTATTTTCAAGAAGCTTCCTAGCAGCTACTTTTTTATAGTTCTTAAACCACCTTCAGATAATTTAGCTAATTTTCATGGCAAAATCTAAAATTTCATTCCAATTACTAAACAGACTAAATTGCTATATCTCTTTAAATATCACTCAAAATTAATAAAATACTACATTGCAGAAAAGATATCCCAACTATTTTAACTTACTAGAAGCAAAACCACAGCTCCTATTGACTTCTCAAAACCTTATCTTAGCTATCTGCTACCTGTTTTCTTTATGCTTTAGAATTTCATAAATATATTAACATCTTTAGAGAACACTATAGCTTTTAACACATTTCTAATGATTTTTTTGTACAAAAGAAATCACTTCTAACAAATCTATGCTCTATTAAAACAACTGAAATTTACAACTTTTCTATTTCTAATTCTTACTATGCCAAAAAATTTGTAGTAGAACTCCAAGACAAATACAAATTTAATATTCCACTCCCACTCATTTATATAACTATCACTTTATAAATAAATCTTCACTCTCAAGTGAATCCAATCTTATTATCAAAATAAATCTAACAATACCAATTAGAAGACCCAAAGACCTAGATAATACTGCTTGACTTTTGAGAAAATACTATTTTTTCTACCAAATTCCAAGTAAATAGATTGATATCCATATAACTCTGAATACTTTAGCTAAACCTTCACCTTTATCTCAACTTTCAGAAATCACTTCTTATCTAAAGCAAACAAACTTTTATTATACAATTTATATTCCTATTACCAAATATAAAAAAATCAAAAGTACAATTACAGAGCTACAGAACTACTTCAATTTTCAAGGTATATTTTTTTATCTTTTTTAATCTTTAATCTACTAGACCCCACCAGGACGTCTTAGATAATTATCTTTACTACTATAAATAAAACTTTACAAACCAGCTCACTACCTACTAGTTTAAACTCTACTATTCTATCCACATTATCCTTAATACCTTCAATCTTATACAATTTACCTTTACTAGAATATTCTAATCAACTATCTCACTCTTCTGATTATAATAATGACTTACTTTTAACTACTAAATTTGATATCTACAAGTATCTAAATATAGTTATATATAATACACAAGAACTTACTAACTTACTTAAACTTCAAGTTTGGCTTGAATTCTGTATAGCAAACAACTATTACATTATCTTTATAACCAAAATAAAACTAAAAGATTTAGCCTCTGCATCTTTTGCAAACTTATATTATAATATATATATATATATATCAAACTTCTTATCTAAAACAAAATACAATATGAAGCAAGCCTTGGCATTGCAATTGCACCACACAAAGCTCAACAACCTTACATCTATAATATACAAATATTTCTAGACACTGCTTTATATATAGACTTTTATCTTCTATTTAACAACAAACTCTAACTCATATTCTTGTATTTATTATCTAATCACCCAATTAGTCAATTTCAATTTAAAACACAATTGCAAATTGGCTTTTAGAAACATGCTACAAAAAATGGTACTATTACTCTCAGTAACTTTAATAATAATACAAAATGCTGCAAAAAAACCTCCAAATTGTTTTTTACCTTGTAATCTTTATCATCTTCAAGTCTTCTAGATTTCTTTTTAGTTACAGAATCTATCTAAAAGCATGGCTTTCAACAAAGTTAAATTAATAATATTTGGGTTAATCCAAAAATTATACTTAACTTTAGCCCATCTATACTAATTGATCCAACCAAAATTATTGACAGTAACTACAAAATTATTCAAACTACCTAAATAACAGACTTTAATCTCAAACTCCTAAGATCTGAAAAAAAGAAAAGAAAGATTTATCTCTATAAACAAATAAATTCTGATTTCTGGCAAGATTTTTCAAAAGCTATCAAAAATGAGTTTAAAACTCTAAATATTTCATTTCCTTTGACAAACTATGACTAGCTTAACAAACATTAGAACAAATAGTTAAATACGATTAAAAAAACTGCTAATAAAGAAATATTAACAACTCTCAAGTCATATAAAACATTTACTTATTCTTATCAAAAACTACTAAGCTTCATCTAGTACTTAAAATAATTAACAATACACTTTACACTACTTGCTTAATCCAACCCATACTTACTCAACTTTGTGGCCTAAATTATTAACACTTTTCTCAAAAAGAAAATTCTCTAACCAAAATACAAACAACACCTTGTCAACCTACAAATTTAATATCAAACTATACCCACTTTCTTATAGAATTAAAAAATTTGAAAAACACAATATTGAAAGCCCAAAATATTAAGACAAAAGCAGCACAAAGAGAAAAATAAACTTCTATATTTAGCAAAATTACAATGATATAAAAACAAACACCTCAAGAATAATTAACAGTATACTGAATCACAAAAAAGCAAATATCTTCTATAACAAAATAATTATTCTTAACAAAATGATTACAAATTTAAAGAAAATAAAACAAATAACAAGAAATCATTTCAACAACTAGACCAAACCTAATATACAAACTTAAATTTTAAATATAAATAGATACCTTATCTATAACTTCTCTTTAACATTCTATTTTATATTTACAACAAACTTACTTTGCCTATAATCTACAATAAATTAATTAATATCATCAATGCTGCTCTAATGCAAAAAGCTACAGGCCCATTAGGAATATCTAATAAAATGCTTAAACATCTACTCTATACTGCAATCTCATCACTACTCTTAATCTTCAATACATGTTTAGAATTAGAACAAATATTAAAAGATTAGGAGATAGCTAACATATGAGTTATTTCAAAAAATCAATACTACAACAATGATTTAAACTATATACACTCTATCACACTAATTGAATATATATGAAAAATTTTTACAAAAATATTTATACTTTAATTAAGTTATATACTTACTAAGCACCAAGTTCTTTCTAAAAACAACAATATAGCTCTTCTATATATCTTAACCTTAACTTTCCAACCAATTCAAATAGCAACTCATATTATCAAACATGCAAATATTACCAACAAAAAATACTAGATTCTTGTATAAGATATAGTCAAAGCATATAATACTATCTATATTCTACTTCTTATAAAAACTCTACAAAGAATTCATATTCTCTTAAAATTTACTAACCTACTTAGCTATCTTCTAAATAGCAAACAAAACACTATAATAATAAATATTGGAATGATAGAACCTTATATGGTACTAGTGCTCAGCACAATCAAACAAATATTTGACAGTCAAATACTTGTTACTACTTATATTTAAATCGGATGTCAAACGATTGCAGATTAATTAAAGCTAAATATATACTATTGGTTAATCTGCAATTATTTGATGTCTGACTTAATCACAAGTATTTGACTGTCAAATTTTTGTTTGATTGTGCCGAGCACTATATGGTACTTTACAAAAATCTGACAAATTCAAGATATGCAATTATTTGCCAATAGTTAGTATTATTTAGTATATTATTACCTTTTATTTCTAAATTTTTGAAATACTAACAATAATTTAAATCTAAAAAATACTAAAATTTAACTCTTTTTTAAAACAATAATATTGTAAGATTATTATAATAAATTTATCAATTTATTACCAATATATATAATATATATATATGAAATTTCTAAGCTTTTTTAAAGTAATAATATTATAAGATTATTATGGTAAATTTATTAATGTATTATCAATATGTATAACATATAAATGCAAAATTTTGAAGCTTTTTTAAAGCAATAATATTATAATATTATTATAATAATTTTATCTATTTATTACCAATATATATAGTATATAAAATATAAATCTTCTAAGCTTTTTTAAAGCATTAATATTGTAATATTATTATAATAATATTATCAATTTATTAGCATAATATTTGCATATTATTAAATATTTAAATAACAATAAACTACAAGCTTTATATGAACATGTTATTGCTATATAAATTATTTCATTAATCTTTCTTGTTTTTCTTTAAGCCCCAATTTATTTGTATATTGAAAATAACTTGCAGCTAGAAATTTACAATTAATAGTAAAGCTAACTAATTCTTTAATATAATTCAAAACTATAGAATTATAATTAGAATTTTTTCCTTTAGATTTTGCTATTAGAAATTCCATATATATCTTAAAACTAGTAGTAATAAAAGTTTTCAATGATTTTACTTCAAACTGATAACTTTTAAAAGTATCATAGTCAAGTGTGTTAATATGTTTTTTAAATAGTTTTTCTATACAAATTCAGTAATAAACTTTTTAATATCATGATCTGATAAATTTCTATAATTTATTAATTGTATTATTATTAGATAAATTAAAATGTAAATAGAAAAAAATAAATAAAGCTTGTCTTTTTTTCAAATTAACTAACTTGCTAGTTTGGCTATATTATTATTATATATTGTACAATAATTTTCAAATACTTGTTATAGTTTATTGATATTTTATTCCAATTAGAATAAGTTCTAACTATGTTAGATACAATATGGTTTATTAATAAAGTTTGTGTTCTTTTTATTGGCATTTGAATTCGCAGAAATAAATATAAGTTTGTTCAGATAGTATTTTTACTATATTAGGTGAGTTATTTAGAGAAATCTATTTATTATATTCTTATCAGCCTACTAACATATATATTAACTTTCATATCATATTATAGTGCAACTTATACCCAAATAAATATCTGTTTTTCCTTACTTTTACTAAATTTTCTCTTTGGTATAAGGATTCTAGTCTTAGTAAATAGTTTTTATTTATTGTGTTGTAGTTTTTAATTAATTTTTATGCCTCATACTATTATTTTTAGTTCCTTTAACCTTGTTAATTTGGACTTTACAGGCTTTTTTTGTGTCTTCCTTCAAGAACTAGTACTTTGCAATCATTTTTTTTATTATTATTTTTATTTTTATTGCAACAACCAATAATATATACACTAGCAATATTATCTCTTCTTGCTATTAAATTATCTTCCTTCTACTTATTGTCTGATATATTTTTTTCTTATCATTGATTTTCATTATTTTTAAGATTTTTAGATAACTACTGATTAGGTCTTCTATTTGTTCTCTAAATATAAGCCTTTATATAATACTGGTTTATCTTGGACATAATAAATATCAAAAACTTTATACCAATTAATTTGTTATTTTGGTGGGCTTGGTTGAAAAAACTTTTACCACTAAGGCTATACAAAGTTAATTTTTCATTTTGCATTATCTGTTATCACATTTTCTAATTTTTTTTTTTTTTAAGTGCCAATTGTATTAATTATTCAATTTTTAGCATTTAATATTTTTTTTATTTTTTTTAACTGGTTTTAGCTAATAGAAACTCTAATTTTCTGAAATTATTCAATAAGACTGATATATAATAAAAATGAAAAAAGGCAAATTAATCAACTAAATTTCAAATTTTATATAAAGATAAAATAAAAAATAATCTGTCTGTCTATCCAGCATTTTGAAATTCATATAATGCAAAGCAAAAAAATTAACTTTGCAAGGCTCAATAGTAAGTTTTTCTTATCTATAGCTGCAATCAATTGAATATAAAAAGCTAATTATAAAATTCTTTATCCATTCTATCACTGGTTTTAATATTTCTAAAAATTTTCTAGAAATATAGAGTTTTATAAGAAAATTTAGACTAATGATGAGTACTTGGAAACAATATTAAATATAGATTTTATCAAATAAGTAAATTATAATATAATTTTGAAAATATTATTAACTATTACTAAAATTACTTTATTGTTTGTTTAATTAGAGATATTTAAAATGATCATTTCTAATTTAATTGTTGTTTAACTTATTTGACTTTAATACCCAGAAAGTATAGTTTATATAGTTTATACTTTTTTCTGTAGCTAACTAAATTTTTAATTTTTTTGGGTGGTTACTAACTCTTATTGTAGTTAGTAACTATCTATAATAGCTCACAACCAATCTCAAAAATAAAATTATATACTGTCAAATCTCACAAAACTGATATATATAGTGAATAGATTTTGTATCAGTATTGAGAAGTTATCAGTTTTATTAATTTTGATATAATTAGTTTTGAGAATTCAAACATAACTTAGCTAAAACCTTAAAAAATTTAATAATATAATTTTTATATTATTATTATATAATTTATATATTATTATTTTATAGTTAAAAGTCTTAACAACACAATTACAATATAATTATAATACAATTTAATTTAATATATTAAATCTGTATTATAAATATATTGTAAGCATATTTTATTTGCTATATTATTATTGTATAGTTAATAATATTGTAATTGTATTATATAAATATTGTAATAGATTAAATTAATTAGAATTTTTTTTTTTTTTGGTATTAAGGTGACCTCTTTGGCCTGGAGAACTTTTTATTAGAGTATAGACGAAGTAAATTAATTAGAATTAATAAGTTGTACAATACAATATAACAATGCAAATAATAATATATAAATTATACAACAATAATAATATAATAATAAAATTATATTATTTTAATAGGTGTTATTTTATAGCAACAAGTTGCTATAGTGACTCTATATGAATAGCTAATCAAAATTAAGCATATGGCTATGTAGTAAGTTGCTTACTATTGGCCAATTAAAATTAGCTAAAAATTATTAAATTTTATAATAAAAAATAAAGAACATATAAAAAAAATGTAATAATTCTAAAATATGATTGGCTGCTATATGTAAGATCACTATAAAGATATGTCTTTATCTAAAATTTAACTATATTTTATAATTAAAAAAATCTATGTTTTAGCTAAGAATAGGTAAAAGGAAAATTTTAATAAATTTCTATTTCGGGTATAAATTATTTAATTTAACTAATATTAGACTGATAACCAATAATTCAGTCTGAGATTATTGAACAAATCTTATACAATTAATAGTTAAGATTCTATTTTTTACAAGATCATGAAATCCAAAATATCTTTTATCAAGATAGTGATATCTAAACTAACTTTTATCAGTCTAAACTATCCCTTGTCAATATTGTAATATTTAAAGTTTTTGTTAGTAATTTTTTAATTTTTTTAGCTTATTCTTTAATAAGTACAAAATATAATATTATTTTACTTTTCATAGCTTTCTTATTTACAGGTATATATTAATTATATGGGTTTTTTTCAATAGAAATAAAAAATTTTTGAGGATGTTTGAATTAGTTTATAGCTTTGGAGTTTATAGAGCTTGCTAAGATTGTGTTTTCTTTATTAGATTTTAATTGTGTATATAGTCTTGTCTAATTAATAATTATTTATATATAATTATATTGCATAATATTAGTCTAGGTATTAGTTGCATATATATATATATATTATTGGTAATATTAATTTTTTTATCTATATTTTTGAATTATAATTGTATAATTTATTTTTTAATAAATTAGGAAGAAGTTATAGGAACAAGCACGTGAATACATGTGTGGGACATGTACCGCTATGTTAGGTTTACCTCGAGGATAGTCAAGTGTCCTAAGGTAGGGTGCGAAATCCGAATTGGGTGATACCAAAATCTAG